TTCTATCTCTGTATTGTTTCAATACTTACTGTTGATTGTTAATATTTCATATATGAATTGCATAATAATTCCGCTAAATACAAATTCCTGAGTTCTGCCCTCTCTGTGTTTTGTTTGGATTCTTGTAATTCGGTCATCTCGAAATACTAATATTCCAAGTATAATAAATTACTAAAATTTTTCATTTACAATTATATGACGTATTATGATTTCAATTTCCTTCCATCGTCATTCCACTCATGCCTTTATCCGATAAAATAAATTTTCTAATCTTGCATAATTTTATTTCCAAGCTCCTTCTAACCCAGCTCCTTTACATCCTTGAACTTTCATATCGAGCGAAAAAACATGATCACTTCTAATCTCCTCCTTCGCCATTATCACATGGAATTAAAAAAGCTATAATTGTATCTGTGTAGAGGTATGCATGAGAGTGTGATTGTACAACTGCCTTCAGGAGTGAAATCGCCAGAGAAGTGTCTTTGCCGCTGTCCTTCTTGTTCTTTTCTCTCTTATATAAAAGAAACCCAAATGATACCTGTGATGACAGTCTGATGTTGTTTTATAAATGATGCCTACTAGGAGAATCCAGGTGGGGTGTTTCATATTTGTCAGCTAGTTGTATAGGACAGTGTTCAGTCATATACTTATACTGACTGAGAAACACAATGATGTATTCAAGCATTGGTTCGTAGGGATTTGATTGATAGGTAACAGGATTTCATTATAAGCTCACATTGGTTTGTTGTTCATTGGAGTCGAAATGCTGAGCACCTGATTAGACTACTGTATATAAACTAGTAGTTAGAGCAGCAGTCAATCAAATGTTCAGCACTATATCATTGAGCAATGCCATAATGACGGTGGTTATATTTATAAAACTAAGTATCGCATTATATTTTCAAGTATGTTCCTCCTAGTACTTCCCACCACTCAAAGATGTCAACAGAATTGACGACGAAAAGGGTGAAGCCTCTATCACACACAAGTGCCGAAAAACAATGTCCCTTGTATTATTCGGTCTCATCAGATAGATGATTTTTAAAGAGAACTCAGGTGGAGCAGAGTGATTTGAATGCACCATCTGTGGAAGAATTGAGCTGGTAGTTGTCCTGAGTTGTCATCATGGTGGTTTTGCTGGAGAATGCTCAGATATGCTCCGAGAAACCGTGTCTTTCATACGTCCAATATGAATAACTCCACAGGAGCAAGTGAATTAGTAATCATTGATTAAAGTGGGCGAATGTGGCTGTCTATTCATCCCACATTGACTGATCATTTCTGATAGTACAAACTGATCCATAGCTCAGCAGGAAAGAATTCATTTTCTCGGTGATCTGGATTGGTCTCTTTCAGAATCTCGACCACCGTATCACCTGTAAATTCAATATTCATCACCGGCAATGTCCTCAGTACTGTTTGGGTTCTCCTAGACTTCTCCATGAATTTCACCTTTTTCTCAATTAATCCAGTAGAATACACATTTGTGAATGAGGATTCGCCCGAGGATTCACTTCATTATGAGATTGCATGTCTGATGGAATTACTTCTTATTTTCACAGGTGAGGAGCACACCAGGTTTCTCCTTCCTCTCAATCGGATTTCAACATATCAGGATCATAAGATGTTATTCAAAACCTATCATATGTGTACATTATAGCCTACAGTTGTGAATAATATCAAGCTCTTATTGTGTGTCTGTGTGAAGACAAATTTGTTGTTGTTCTTCACCTGCACGAATGATCGTAGTTCAAATTTCACTATTATGAATAATACGAAGTATCTTTCACATTACGTGCGAATCCTCTTTTCCTAAATTTTCATTAAATGATGCAAGACTTCTTTTTTGTTACAAAAAGTGAACAGACATGCAGCGATTTCATCACCTTGTTTAGGCTGTGCTATGCATCGACAATACACTTTTCAAGCAGTCCTAGTCCTTCAACAAAGCTATTGTTGCGCGCATCTACATAGTGGCCACTGGATCTCCCTCTCCCTCTCTCCACAATATCAAAATCCATACTGGTTACGTTAACTGCCTTCCATGTTATACTATGAGTAATTTCTCCGTTGGAAATACAACAGTGCATGAAGTATGAAGAACTTTGGATGTTTCAAGAAATTAGTCATGATGAATTCCCTGAACAATAACGACAACTACATTCCACATTACTTTGATACCTTCAACAGTATACATTGACAAACTTCAAGCATTCGCCAACTCCAAATGAGACTAGAATAAGTTGACTTGTAGTGTCAGCGTTCTGTGAACTGAAAGATACAAAGAGTGATGTTACTGCTTAGGTAATTTCAGCCACTGCATTATATGGCAGACTAATATAGTTAACCCTGTGGCGTATTTTCAATTTCATTAAAGTCTTTTAACGAAGATTTTCAGAGAAAAGGAATTAACAAATCTGAATAAGGTAATGTGGATTTAAGTGTACTTTTCGGTTTGTAAGAGTCAGTTATTTCAAGATTTCTTATGGATTGATGCTGAGCGTACTGGACGGTTGTTCCGTCCTAGTCTGAGAAGTATCACCAGAATATAATCACAACCACAACCAATATCGTGGGACAAATTAATCCATCATCAAACTTCAAGTAACTTAAAGCTTTACTTTCATAACACATCCTCCTTGATATAATCACATTTAGTTCAGTAAGATTCATTCAAAAGTAGTGACGATGTATCACGAGTATGTTGACGTCATGCCGTATCATTCCATCTATTACATACTCAAATGTATTACGTAACGTATTCCTGAGATCGAATACTTCACGTGGAGTGCAATCAGGTTAGACAACTCTATTTCATGTATCTAATGCTTTATGGAACAGATTGCTGTCTCACCACATCAGAAGGGAATGAATGAGATAGATGGAAATGCAATCTATCATTGTACCTTGGTAAGCATTCGCGAAAATCCTATAGTTATTTTAATTGTTCAAAAGTTATTGTTCACCTATGATCTCACTGAGAAACATACAGGATATTCTTCTCATTACATTAAAACAGTTGGTCATCTGCGGATGGAGTGATGCAGAATTACAAAATTTGGAATGATGACTTTGAATGTGACTTGTCGATTACATGAATGATTGGGGTTGGTGATTTACTGCATGCGTCTATCAATTCATCGGCCAAAATACTGAGGTAAGAATGTTGGTCGTTTGCTATTCTGAGGTATCATCAAATATTCACCCTCATGATTCCAATAAGTAGAACAGGGATCCCTCCCTCACAGATGTGTTCTCGAACACATTATCGATTCTGCACATCGAGCGAACTGGCAATTCAACTTCACAGTCATACACAGATTACCCTACAATTCATGATTAATCCCCATCCATACATTAGTCAAAACAAAACATATAGTCCAGTGAAGATGCTCCTTCTGGTGAATTCATCTTCCTCCATAGCTGCATAATCGCATTTGAATTCAACCCATTGTTTTATTCAAAGAGGTGATGAGTTGTCACAAACAAAGTTGTTCAGATGAGTCAGTGAATAAAGCAAAGTTCACAGAGGAGTGTATCAGAGATACGTAAAAAGTTGAAATATTTAATGAATGAGCTGTAATCAGGATGGCCATAGAAGCTAAGGAAAATATTGAATTACGTAAGAGTGAGTTATGAAGAAATACAAGAATTCAGAGAAGTCAGAATAACAGACAAGGAGACGAACAAAATTCAGTTTAGTAGGAATCAACGAGGACGTAAACATGCCAGTAGAAATGGTTGAATAAATTACTCTGTATGCATAGTCCGATGTTTAGACATGAGTCAGTAAGCCTTCAGTAATGCGAAAATCACATGGGCGTACTGTCTGTAGCAGGATGTTCTCTATGAGACTTCGTAGCAAGACTTCAGAGGGTGAGAAATTACGAAGAGTTAAAAACTCACAAATATATGTGGATTACAGACGATCAGTTACTCACTAGTTAGTTCTCCCTCAACTTGTGCATCACACATGTGCACGGTGGTGACAGCGGGTAGCCTGTGTAAAACGGCACACTGTTGCATACTGTCACAACTACCTCAAACCAACACTGAATTTTATCCCCTAAATATCCATCAACAAATATATTCATCAAATACTCATACATACCCATAAACAACACTGTGCATGTGCGTGACTTCCTAATACGTGCTGAGCATTATTCGCTTATCAGTCCCACACAGGGTTTTATGAAGGAATAATCAGGTCATGTGTCACATGCAGTATACTTTAGTCACTGATCGTAGGTAGTTTAGCCTCTGATTCACTCGTCATATTGTGTGTAGCTAACTGAAGCATTTCGGCGAAGTACCACCTTTTCATTCAGACATTTATGTCTACACTAACTGTTCTATCGCAATGTTTCACGTCTTCTTGGGAAATTCAACTGTTACTCCGAAACGTCGTCGTCCTAACCACACCCTCTTAAGCGTTCATACACAACAGGCTGATGAGCAGATTTGGTGTTTAGAACCATATGTACTGATGTATACGAAAACATTGGACTGCATTCACGTATGTTCAGTGATAGGCTTTACTTAGGAAGAATGCTATTTCGTGTGGAATTGCATCGTGGTAGTTCATGCGTTTCTCGTAATCACATCACTCGCATATTACTGTATGTAATTCCATTTGTACAATTTGTCACTAAATACACATACTATGTCATTTAATTCCTTGTCACCTATGTGAAGTAACAACAGTATAGGAATGCAAGTGAAGTATTGAGAGAATGTCATTGAAGTTCAACCTGAATGAAATCTAATGTGAAGAGACCAGAAACAAATGATGGGACAATCCACTACCCATCGAAACATCACGTAAGCGAAGTAGAGGGAAATCTGCCTGTCTATTTTGAACATCTCAAAGAATATCGAGGAAGTACTGAATACAATTCATTTGATCAGACACCATCATGCTAGTAGATACATTAACCACGAAGTTCAAAGATCGCAGAAACAGAAAGTCCCCACAACACGGAAAAAATAACACAGAAGTGTAGGTGAATACAAATATTATTTCAAAAATTACATCACACAGATACACAGTCTTCACAATTTGATAACAACAAAAGGAATTAATGAAACAGATGGGGTAGAAAAAGAGTGAGAGAGAGAGAGAAAACAAGTGAGGAGAATTCGAAGACGAATCAATCAACTGAGATGATATGAGAATATCAGCCGACCAACTTCGTCTCGAGTAACACACATGTTTACAAGGTATTCGAAAGATAAGAAATCATCCAGACACCTTAGGAATGCAAACATCACTTCTCTCCGAATGTTTTCTTGTCCAGACATTTACCATAGAAACATCTGTTGCTGCAACACTCTTCATTCGTCTTACACGGTGAACTCATCTTGAGACAATTATGGACGCATGTTCCAGATCTAAGAGTGCTCATCTGGCATTCATATGGTGGACAAAACTTCTTCTCCATACTTGCAGTACAAGATTGTCCGAGGGCGATGCACTCACCTGGAATGTAAATGCAGTGAAACAGTGAGACGACACTTGCTTCTACAATCATCAGTCAGAATAGAATAATGCATACTGAACACACAGAATGCACGTGGTGATGACGATATCATGTAGTCGTGTGTCTGTTACGAGCGGGTGTTCATGCACACTCGATATGAGTGTGATCGAGAAAATGAATGACAATCAATTTCAACTTGGTTCTATAATCATCTGAATCGAAGGAACACATGAAATGGTGGAGAGCTTCTGTTATCAATGTCGAAATGATGAATCGATGTCAAGATTCTCCCTGATATCTAAGCAACAACAAAAATTCTGAGGTCCGAAGAGTTCTCATCAACTGATAGCCCAATCAACGGATACAAACAGTCCGAATTCTCCAAAACTAATAACCTTCAAGGAAATGACGACTTACTGGGGGAGAGAAAATCAGAAATGTCAACTACTCACATGTCTCCAAATTAAAGCTGACATGCGAGTACACGTCAATGAAGATATTTCGATATCCTTAACGTCATTCGTGCATGCACAAAGTGGAAGCCGTTTGATACAAATCGTCACATTGACTCAGACGTAGCTGAGAAACATAAATTTAGTTACTCGAGATGCACTGACTATTGTAAGCTGTATTGAACAACCCGCTGATATGAAGAAAGTGGCAACCCTCTGCATTCTGACAACATGCTACATCGAATAATGGCGTCGTGAGTAAACAAAATGGAGACAGTCTATTTCCGATTCCCATCAGCTACCTAGATCACCCGACATAAATGAGGACGTCTCGGGAGACAACTAGCACATAGTGGCGAAATGATTGTGTAATCAATCGCCTGCCTGGTTGGCCTTCTCCACTGTTGTCGACAGGTAGGATGCGGCCACATCTCTCAAACGAGCGGGTGTTCCTCATCTCACTGAAATCCCTAATCACTTGCATGTTCGTCTAATAAGATAGTACAGTACAGTACATGACTTACTTGCATCTCCACACTTCCCGTCTATACACAGCTTGCTGCAACATTCTTCATTCTTCTGACATTGTGCTTTCAATTGATAACATGACTTCACACACGTCCCAGACCTGGGAGCCGTCATTTGACACTCGTTTGGTGGACAACACGTCTTCGTCAAGCTTGCAGCACAATATTTCCCAACGGGGATGCAGTCGCCTTGGTCACCTGGAATGTAGATTCAGACAGCAGAACCAACATCTTGATAATCACATTCATACAGATGAAAAAGTGTGCATATGATATGAGTGGCAACTGTGATCAAGGGGATGAAATGAATTGAGACTATGCTCTGGATATATCGATATCACGAGGATATAGTTGAAAGAGTGTCTTAAACTACTTGGATAACAACACCAATTGGTTGGCCCATATGTCCAATATTTCAAGAAATCACTCATCACACGCAAGAAAGCAGACCACCCACACAACCCTGATATATAGGTATATATATATATATATATATATTGCCTCGCCTAAAACCGAATAAAAATGTCACTCTCCGAGAGAATTCACAAGAAATTTTCAATGGACACGAAGTCATACAGACCTACAAACCCACAAATATATGCGGATTACAGACGACCAGTTACTCACCAGTTACTTGTCACTCACCTTTTGCATCACACATGTGGATGCTCAGGACAGCGAGTAGGTTGAGTAAAACGACACACTGTTGCATGTTTCCTACAATACTGCACTCTGTTGACTTCCACTCTCACATCTAACTCAGACCAACACTCACTTTTATACCCAAACTATCCATCATCAAATATATTCACCAAATACTCACACACATATAACAATATGAATATTCGTGATTTTCTAACACTCTATAGGGAGTACTCGAATTTAATCAAACCACCCACCCACACACACACACACTCAAAATCTGATATCTGATGGGCCATCAGGTCACACATCACGAACTATGTCACACGAGTAACACATCACATGTAGCTGATTTCCTTTTTGATGTGTTGACATTCGCATTCAAAATGTATTATTTTGTGTATTTCAGAGAGTCACTTTAATGAATCAGCACTACTTTTAGTGCACAATCCATCGGATTCTCTGAATTAATCTGCTACCCTCGTAACGAACTTACGTAGTTGTATGTTGTTGCTAATAGATGTCGATTATTGAGTAACGTGTATGAGATGCGCAATTGCAGTACCAGCTATAGAGGAATTCAGTAAAATGAATGAACTAGAGATGAGCTACCGAAGCCTTGTCTCATTTGAAACCTAAGGTTACAATAAAAATGACAAAAAGATCACTTTTGGACTTCAAATTAGCATACATTTTGTGACGAAATAATGCACGCCATTCTTCAGTGGCAGTGATGATTAAACACGCAGACACATTGCACGTCCTCCAATTCGAAGTGTCTAGACTCCAGATAAAAATAGTAAGATAGTGCTAGTCAAAGCACTGCTAGCCAGACATTTCGCAAGCAGGCTAACGCTATGTAGGTCGCTCATTTAAACGCATGCCTGCCACATTATACGGTTAAAAGCCACTAACTGATATGCTTTTCCTAAATCTAGCTTGTTCTTGCGAGGTGCAGAGTTCTGCATTCACCTATTAGTTTGTCCAGGAGGACGAAATCTCATATTCTACCTGGTTTGGACAACAGCGTGGTTCCGCGCCAGATATTACAAATACCCAGATTCGTCCATCTTTGGTAGTTTGACAGAGTAACCTTTCTGTAAATCAATAGGTACTTTTCCCTCTTTGCTTGCAAAATTTCTTAAATGAAGCCCTGAACATAACCACTACTGTCACTAGATTCGTTCTCATTGCTTCTGGAGGAAATCCGTCCAGTCCTGCTACTCAGCAGGCTGGCTTTTCGAAACCTCATTGCGTTCTACACTTGTCAGAGATTGATATTCATGGACAGTTCTGAGCCTGTTGCCGGCGGAATTTCCGGAAGAGTTGCAAGTGATGTTCGATTCACGAGTCGTTTGGAATGATCAGTTTACTTTTTCCTTTGTTTCTCTTGTTTGTTGATTTCTCTTGTCTGCTTCACCGTCTCCAAATGGTTCTATCTGAGCTGAACCCTTCCCTGATTTAGACCCGACTATCTGAAATAATGCTGTGATGTCTCAGTTTCCTCGGGGCCTGTTCTCCTTTAGTCTCCAAAGTGTCATAGAGTTCCTAGCCCCCTTTTGTATTCAATACGTGGTAGACACAAATTAGTTTCTCATTTCGCTGTCCATATTTGCAACACCTGACATAATTCACCGTATATCCCTCCACTTTCAGCTTCCATGTGTTCATAGCGAGCCATTTCTTGTATTGGCTCTTCTACATTTCTGAAACGGCCACACAGGATTTCTATTAAATTAGTTTTGAAGTGTTCCGCCGCTCCCGAACACAAATTTACTCCATGATGACATAATAGTGCCTAACGGACTCCTTCTGGTGGCAGCTTTGAATGCGTCCATCATGGTTCCATCCTCCAATCTGTGAGTAGTGGACTTCTGTTGGGGTCTACTTACAAATTCTTTGGAGGATTTCAACTTGACCCTGAAGGTTTCATGCACTCGGTCTGAGCCCACATCTTCTTCTCTCCTTGATTTTGTATCCAGCAGGTGGTTTCTCCACCTGATCCTCCACCAGAAATCTTTCTTTTTATCTTCATTTCGATTGATTGTAGGCGAGTAGCAGTGGATGGTCTTAGCTGTTCCACCGTTCTAGTTGAATCTCACTGTCATCATCCTGTTGGGGGAGATCGGTTCCCGCGGCATAAGAGCTTCAGCTGGTGATAAACACTCCATCATTGTGATTGTGGTTGTCGTCTGGGTGACTGGAGAGGATTATTGACTCTCCCTCCAGTTAACAATTCGGAGAGTCCGCATCTATTTCACGTGTTGTCACAGATTTCTAACACTTTTAAGCCTTATCTTCACATTCCTCTGGCAACCTGGACAGGATCTCCAGCTTTGTAAACTGTGAGAACATTCCACATCTCCGTACGTAGTATTGTGCGTCGGTGGTACAGCGGTAGTTTCGTTTTCATTGAAATGAGACACATCTGCTGACTGGCTTTCTGGAGGCTTTCGCCAGCTTACACTATTGCGTCTCTTCGATTTCAAGAAAGAAAAAGTTTGCTGTTTGTATTTGTGTTGCTTGTCAAAGTTTCTGTCATGATTGCATTGATGTCTTGGGTTATATTCGATGGCCACACGATCATTTCCCCTATTTTAACAGCCTAATACCATAGTAGGTGAACTAGGTGAGGAAATGATTGCACTAATCAGGGGAAAATGGGTGCATTGGATTGGAAATATACTGTGAATTGGATCAATTGCGTGTCAGCCGCGAGACTCGTTTAGACAGCCGACATGGGATGAGAGAGGGAATTCAACCGATTTTCATAAGCACAAACATATCACAAAATAGTCAAAGGGGTGTAAGTTTGATTCCTGGAATCCGATGCACTGTGAAATAAAAGTAGTGCTGATTCATTAAAGTGACTCTCTGAAATACACAAAATAATACATTTTGAATGCGAATGTCAACACATCAAAAAGGAAATCAACTACATGTGATGTGTTACTCGTGTGACATAGTTCGTGATGTGTGACCTGATGGCCCATCAGATATCAGATTTTGAGTGTGTGTGTGTGTGGGTGGGTGGTTTGATTAAATTCGAGTACTCCCTATAGAGTGTTAGAAAATCACGAATATTCATATTGTTATATGTGTGTGAGTATTTGGTGAATATATTTGATGATGGGTAGTTTGGGTATAAAAGTGAGTGTTGGTCTGAGTTAGATGTGAGAGTGGAAGTTAACAGAGTGAAGTATTGTAGGAAACATGCAACAGTGTGTCGTTTTACTCAACCTACTCGCTGTCCTGAGCATCCACATGTGTGATGCACAAGGTGAGTGACACGTAACTGGTGAGTAACTGGTCGTCTGTAATCCGCATATATTTGTGGGTTTGTAGGTCTGTATGACTTCGTGTCCATTGAAAATTTCTTGTGAATGCTCTCGGAGAGTGAGATTTTTATTCGGTTTTAGGCGAGGCAATATATATATATATATATATATATATCAGGGTTGTGTGGGTGGTCTGCTTTCTTGCATGTGATGAGTGATTTCTTGAAATATTGGACATGTGGGCCAACCAATTGGTGTTGTTATCCAAGTAGTTTAAGACACTCTTTCAACTATATCCTCGTGATATCGATATATCCAGAGCATAGTCTCAATTCATTTCATCCCCTTGATCACAGTTGCCACTCATATCATATGCACACTTTTTCATCTGTATGAATGTGATTATCGAGATGTTGGTTCTGCTGTCTGAATCTACATTCCAGGTGACCAAGGCGACTGCATCCCCGTTGGGAAATATTGTGCTGCAAGCTTGACGAAGACGTGTTGTCCACCAAACGAGTGTCAAATGACGGCTCCCAGGTCTGGGACGTGTGTGAAGTCATGTTATCAATTGAAAGCACAATGTCAGAAGAATGAAGAATGTTGCAGCAAGCTGTGTATAGACGGGAAGTGTGGAGATGCAAGTAAGTCATGTACTGTACTGTACTATCTAATTAGACGAACATGCAAGTGATTAGGGATTTCAGTGAGATGAGGAACACCCGCTCGTTTGAGAGAAGTGGCTGCATCCTACCTGTCGACAACAGTGGACAAGGCCAACCAGGCAGGCGATTGATTACACAATCATTTCGCCACTATGTGCTAGTTGTCTCCCGAGACGTCCTCATTTATGTCGGGTGATCTAGGTAGCTGATGGGAATCGGAAATAGACTGTCTCCATTTTGTTTACTCACGACGCCATTATTCGATGTAGCATGTTGTCAGAATGCAGAGGGTTGCCACTTTCTTCATATCAGCGGGTTGTTCAATACAGCTTACAATAGTCAGTGCATCTCGAGTAACTAAATTTATGTTTCTCAGCTACGTCTGAGTCAATGTGACGATTTGTATCAAACGGCTTCCACTTTTTGCATGCACGAATGACGTTAAGGATATCGAAATATCTTCATTGACGTGTACTCGCATGTCAGCTTAAATTTGGAGACATGTGAGTAGTTGACATTTCTGATTTTCTCTCCCCCAGTAGGTCGTCATTTCCTTGAAGGTTATTAGTTTTGGAGAATTCGGACTGTTTGTATCCGTTGATTGGGCTATCAGTTGATGAGAACTCTTCGGACCTCAGAATTTTTGTTGTTGCTTAAATATCAGGAAGAATCTTGACATCGATTCATCATTTCGACATTGATAACAGAAGCTCTCCACCATTTCATGTGTTCCTTCGATTCAGATGATTATAGAACCAAGTTGAAATTGATTGTCATTCATTTTCTCGATCACACTCATATCGAGTGTGCATGAACACCCGCTCGTAACAGACACACGACTACATGATATCGTCATCACCACGTGCATTCTGTGTGTTCATCACGCATTATTCTATTCTGACTGATGATTGTAGAAGCAAGTGTCGTCTCACTGTTTCACTGCATTCACATTCCAGGTGAGTGCATCGCCCTCGGACAATCTTGTACTGCAAGTATGGAGAAGAAGTTTTGTCCACCATATGAATGCCAGATGAGCACTCTTAGATCTGGAACATGCGTCCATAATTGTCTCAAGATGAGTTCACCGTGTAAGACGAATGAAGAGTGTTGCAGCAACAGATGTTTCTATGGTAAATGTCTGGACAAGAAAACATTCGGAGAGAAGTGATGTTTGCATTCCTAAGGTGTCTGGATGATTTCTTATATTTCGAATACCTTGTAAACATGTGTGTTACTCGAGACGAAATTGGTCGGCTGACATTCTCATATCATCTCAGTTGATTGATTCGTCTTCGAATTCTCCTCACTTGTTTTCTCTCTCTCTCTCACTCTTTTTCTACCCCATCTGTTTCATTAATTCCTTTTGTTGTCATCAAATTGTGAAGACTGTGTATCTGTGTGATGTAATTTTTGAAATAATATTTGTATTCACCTACACTTCTGTGTTATTTTTTCCGTGTTGTGGGGACTTTCTGTTTCCGCGATCTTTGAACTTCGTGGTTAATGTATCTACTAGCATGATGGTGTCTGATCAAATGAATTGTATTCAGTACTTCCTCGATATTCTTTGAGATGTTCAAAATAGACAGGCAGATTTCCCTCTACTTGGCTTACGTGATGTTTCGATGGGTAGTGGATTGTCCCATCATTTGTTTCTGGTCTCTTCACATTAGATTTCATTCAGGTTGAACTTCAATGACATTCTCTCAATACTTCACTTGCATTCTTATACTGTTGTTACTTCACATAGGTGACAAGGAATTAAATGACATAGTATGTGTATTTAGTGACAAATTGTACAAATGAAATTACATACAGTAATATGCGAGTGATGTGATTACGAGAAACGCATGAACTGCCACGATGCAATTCCACACGAAATAGCATTCTTCTTAAGTAAAGCCTATCACTGAACATACGTGAATGCAGTCCAATGTTTTCGCATACATCAGTACATATGGTTCTAAACACCAAATCTGCTCATCAGCCTGTTGTGTATGAACGCTTAAGAGGGTGTGGTTAGGACGACGACGTTTCGGAGTAACAGTTGAATTTCCCAAGAAGACGGGAAACATTGCGATAGAACAGTTAGTGTAGACATAAATGTCTGAATGAAAAGGTGGTACTTCGCCGAAATGCTTCAGTTAGCTACACACAATATGACGAGTGAATCAGAGGCTAAACTACCTACGATCAGTGACTAATGTATACTGCATGTGACACATGACCTGATTATTCCTTCATAAAACCCTGTGTGGGACTGATAAGCGAATAATGCTCAGCACGTATTAGGAAGTCACGCACATGCACAGTGTTGTTTATGGGTATGTATGAGTATTTGATGAATATATTTGTTGATGGATATTTAGGGGATAAAATTCAGTGTTGGTTTGAGGTAGTTGTGACAGTATTCAACAGTGTGCCGTTTTACACAGGCTACCCGCTATCACTACCGTGCACATGTGTGATGCACAAGTTGAGGGAGAACTAACTAGTGAGTAACTGATCGTCTGTAATCCACATATATTTGTGAGTTTTTAACTCTTCGTAATTTCTCACCCTCTGAAGTCTTGCTACGAAGTCTCATAGAGAACATCCTGCTACAGACAGTACGCCCATGTGATTTTTGCATTACTGAAGGCTTACTGACTCATGTCTAAACATCGGACTATGCATACAGAGTAATTTATTCAACCATTTCTACTGGCATGTTTACGTCCTCGTTGATTCCTACTAAACTGAATTTTGTTCGTCTCCTTGTCTGTTATTCTGACTTCTCTGAATTCTTGTATTTCTTCATAACTCACTCTTACGTAATTCAATATTTTCCTTAGCTTCTATGGCCATCCTGATTACAGCTCATTCATTAAATATTTCAACTTTTTACGTATCTATGATACACTCCTCTGTGAACTTTGCTTTATTCACTGACTCATCTGAACAACTTTGTTTGTGACAACTCATCACCTCTTTGAATAAAACAATGGGTTGAATTCAAATGCGATTATGCAGCTATGGAGGAAGATGAATTCACCAGAAGGAGCATCTTCACTGGACTATATGTTTTGTTTTGACTAATGTATGGATGGGGATTAATCATGAATTGTAGGGTAATCTGTGTATGACTGTGAAGTTGAATTGCCAGTTCGCTCGATGTGCAGAATCGATAATGTGTTCGAGAACACATCTGTGAGGGAGGGATCCCTGTTCTACTTATTGGAATCATGAGGGTGAATATTTGATGATACCTCAGAATAGCAAACGACCAACATTCTTACCTCAGTATTTTGGCCGATGAATTGATAGACGCATGCAGTAAATCACCAACCCCAATCATTCATGTAATCGACAAGTCACATTCAAAGTCATCATTCCAAATTTTGTAATTCTGCATCACTCCATCCGCAGATGACCAACTGTTTTAATGTAATGAGAAGAATATCCTGTATGTTTCTCAGTGAGATCATAGGTGAACAATAACTTTTGAACAATTAAAATAACTATAGGATTTTCGCGAATGCTTACCAAGGTACAATGATAGATTGCATTTCCATCTATCTCATTCATTCCCTTCTGATGTGGTGAGACAGCAATCTGTTCCATAAAGCATTAGATACATGAAATAGAGTTGTCTAACCTGATTGCACTCCACGTGAAGTATTCGATCTCAGGAATACGTTACGTAATACATTTGAGTATGTAATAGATGGAATGATACGGCATGACGTCAACATACTCGTGATACATCGTCACTACTTTTGAATGAATCTTACTGAACTAAATGTGATTATATCAAGGAGGATGTGTTATGAAAGTAAAGCTTTAAGTTACTTGAAGTTTGATGATGGATTAATTTGTCCCACGATATTGGTTGTGGTTGTGATTATATTCTGGTGATACTTCTCAGACTAGGACGGAACAACCGTCCAGTACGCTCAGCATCAATCCATAAGAAATCTTGAAATAACTGACTCTTACAAACCGAAAAGTACACTTAAATCCACATTACCTTATTCAGATTTGTTAATTCCTTTTCTCTGAAAATCTTCGTTAAAAGACTTTAATGAAATTGAAAATACGCCACAGGGTTAACTATATTAGTCTGCCATATAATGCAGTGGCTGAAATTACCTAAGCAGTAACATCACTCTTTGTATCTTTCAGTTCACAGAACGCTGACACTACAAGTCAACTTATTCTAGTCTCATTTGGAGTTGGCGAATGCTTGAAGTTTGTCAATGTATACTGTTGAAGGTATCAAAGTAATGTGGAATGTAGTTGTCGTTATTGTTCAGGGAATTCATCATGACTAATTTCTTGAAACATCCAAAGTTCTTCATACTTCATGCACTGTTGTATTTCCAACGGAGAAATTACTCATAGTATAACATGGAAGGCAGTTAACGTAACCAGTATGGATTTTGATATTGTGGAGAGAGGGAGAGGGAGATCCAGTGGCCACTATGTAGATGCGCGCAACAATAGCTTTGTTGAAGGACTAGGACTGCTTGAAAAGTGTATTGTCGATGCATAGCACAGCCTAAACAAGGTGATGAAATCGCTGCATGTCTGTTCACTTTTTGTAACAAAAAAGAAGTCTTGCATCATTTAATGAAAATTTAGGAAAAGAGGATTCGCACGTAATGTGAAAGATACTTCGTATTATTCATAATAGTGAAATTTGAACTACGATCATTCGTGCAGGTGAAGAACAACAACAAATTTGTCTTCACACAGACACACAATAAGAGCTTGATATTATTCACAACTGTAGGCTATAATGTACACATATGATAGATTTTGAATAACATCTTATGATCCTGATATGTTGAAATCCGATTGAGAGGAAGGAGAAACCTGGTGTGCTCCTCACCTGTGAAAATAAGAAGTAATTCCATCAGTCATGCAATCTCATAATGAAGTGAATGCTCGGGCGAATCCTCATTCACAAATGTGTATTCTACTGGATTAATTGAGAAAAAGGTGAAATTCATGGAGAAGTCTAGGAGAATCCAAACAGTACTGAGGACATTGCCGGTGATGAATATTGAATTTACAGGTGATACGGTGGTCGAGATTCTGAAAGAGACCAATCCAGATCAACGAGAAAATGAATTCTTTCCTGCTAAGCTATGGATCAGTTTGTACTATCGGAAATGATCAGTCAATGTGGGATGAATAGACAGCCACATTCGCCCACTTTAATCAATGATTACTAATTCACTTGCTCCTGTGGAGTTATTCATATTGGACGCATGAAAGACACGGTTTCTCGGAGCATATCTGAGCATTCTCCAGCAAAACCACCATGATGACAACTCAGGACAACTACCAGCTCAATTCTTCCACAGATGGTGCATTCAAATCACTCTGCTCCACCTGAGTCCCCTTTTAAAATCATCTATCTGATGAGACCGAATAATACAAGGGACATTGTTTTTCGGCACTTGTGTGTGATGGAGGCTTCACCCTTTTCGTCGTCAATTCTGTTGACATCTTTGAGTGGTGGGAAGTACTAGGAGGAACATACTTGAAAATATAATGCGATACTTAGTTTTATAAATATAACCACCGTCATTATGATCAATGATATAGTGCTGAACATTTGATTGACTGCTGCTCTAACTACTAGTTTATATACAGTAGTCTAATCAGGTGCTCAGCATTTCGACTCCAATGAACAACAAACCAATGTCAGCTTATGATGAAATTCTGTTACCTATCAATCAAATCCCTACGAACCAATGCTTGAATACCTCATTGTGTTTCTCAGTCAGTATAAGTATATGACTGAACACTGTCCTATACAACTAGCTGACAAATATGAAACACCCCACCTGGATTCTCCTAGTAGGCATCATTTATAAAACAACATCAGACTGTCATCACAGGTGTCATTTAGGTTTCTTTTATATAAGAGAGAAAAGAACAAGAAGGACAGCAGCAAAGACACTTCTCTGGCGATTTCACTTCTGAAGGCTGTTGTACAATCACACTCACATACATACCTCTACACAGATACAATTATAGCTTTTTTAATTCCATGTGATAATGGCGAAGGAGGAGATTAGAAGTGATCATGTTTTCTCGCTCGATAGGAAAGTTCAAGGATGTAAAGGAGCTGGGAGGATGGAAAGAAAATTATGCAAGATTAGAAAATTTATTTTA